ACATTAGAAAATTAGACTTGGTAAGGTTTTACGTTTTTGCAGTGCATACCACACCACACCACACTACACCATACCACACCACACCATACCACACCACACCACACCATACCACACCACACCAGCTTTATTTATAGAAAACTTTAAACACCCACAAAACCAAAGCGCTGTACACATAATAAAATAACCATACAGTCAAATAATAAAGAATTATTCAACTAATTAAAAGTCAACATCACAGATGGTGTCAAAGTCCGCGGAGAAGAGATGGGTTTTAAGAAGGGATTTTAAAACAGACAGGGAAGAGGACTGTCTGATGTTCAAGGGAAGGTCGATGCACAGTTTGCCACAGCAAAAGCACGGTCTCCTCTGAGCAAATGCTTTGTCTTTGGCACACTCAGGAGCAGCAGATCACATGACCTGAGGGATCAAGAGGGTGTGTATGGATGTACCAACTCAGACAGATAGGGCTGGGCAAGTCCATTTAGAGCTTTAAAAGCAAATAAAATAATTTTAAAATGAATCCTAAAATGTACAAGCAGCCAGTGCAGGGAGGCTGAAACAGGAGAAATGTCGAAGTTTTGTTCGCCATTTAAGCAGTGCAGCAGCATTCTGTACCCTCTGAAGCTGAGAGATATATGAGTCACTGATTCCTGTGTAGAGTACAATAGTCCAGCCGAGTGGTCACAAAGGTGTTAAATACTGTTTCAAAATGCTGCTGAGAAAGAATCGGCTTAACTTTAGCCAGCTGCCTCAAATGGAAAAAAATAGATTTAACAAGTGCTCTGATGTTTTTTTCTTCTTTCAGCTGCTCCCTTCTTGAGGGGTTGCTACAGCAAACTAAGTTCCACAAAGGTTTGGCAATTATTTTTACGCTGGATGTCCTTCCTGATGCAACCACAGATCACTAAGCTACCACAGCCCTCTGTGTGGAGCAGAAAGCTGCTAGCTAGGGCGCCCAGAAGAACAGATGGTGGGGCTTAAGGGCCTTGCTTAAGGGCCAGAGTGGGGCAAATGAAGGTGGAGGCAGGTGTGGGCGCTTCACCTATCCCACCCACATTTTGATGTTGTCGGTGCGGGGAGTTGAACCGGCGACCTTCCGATCACAGGTCCACCTTCTCTAACCTCTGCGAACCCTGATGCAGAGGTTAGAGAAGAACTGCTCTGATGTGATTTTCTAACTTTAGTCCAGCATCGACTTTGACCCCCTAGGTTTGTGACAGTTGGCCTGGTGTACTGAGCCAAGGAACCAACATCTAGTTTAGGAATCTCAGTGGAACTTCCTAAGACGATCACCTCAGTCTTTTCGTCATTGAACTTTAAGACGTTCACAGCCATCCAGACTTTTATGTCCTCCACACATTAAAATAGAGGAGCCAGAGAGTTAGGATCCTTTTTCTTTAGCAGGACATATGCAGAATCTGTGTATCATCCGCATAACAATGAAATGAGATCCCATATTTTCTAACAATAGAGCTAATAGTTAGCAGGTACAGAATGAAGAGGAGTGGGGCCTAAGACTGAGCCCTGTGGAACCCCACACAAGAGAGAAGCAGAAGTAGACCTGTGGTCACCAAGGCAGACACAGAAAGTATGCTCGGTTAAATGGAGCTAAACCAGTCCATTGCTGTACTGCTGACCCTGCCCCCACCCCCACCCCATTGTTTCAAACGACAAAGTAAAATGCTATGGTACACTGTATCAAAAGCAGCAGATAAATCTAAAAGCAAGAGGATACTTTATGTTTTGGCATGATTATGATGAACTTATTGGATTTGGACTATGAGTTGGGGTCATTTTATAGAGCAAGTGCTCAATTTTGAGGAGTTGATTGACTTACAGGTAAAGATTGAGAGGTTCCAGTCTTTCACTTTACCTGGAGGTAATGTTATGTAAAACTGATGATGAACAAGTTCTGTCCACAAGATTCACCCCATATTGTGGTGTTACTTGTTGCCTTCACAGACAGCGCATACGTTTAATGGACCACTGGCCATGGTTTAGGTCCATCCAATACAAAAATCCATTTGCAGTCTTGGTTTCTGGTTGGTATTTTTGGACCAGCATCAACCATGGGTCCAGACAGAACAGGAGGGCCACCAACATCTTTATTCATGAAGCAATTTTGCAGTGCAGAAAAACCGTGTTGTTGTACATGAAGGGTCAGTGAGATGTGAACGTGAGAAAACACCTCATGCGTGGACAATGAGGAGCAGGACAGAACCACCACAGGGATCAAAGACCAGCTCTGACTGTGGCCTGGAACACTGAAGACCTTCTTTCTCTTGGCACACTGATAAATAAAGAATACTTGGCTCTGTCAATACGTGAAAGGAATAATGAATTAATTGTAAAAGATAACTCTCTTTGATACAATGGCAAATTAAAAGCTGGGTTCTCCTGAAGATGATTGAGGACATGCAAACACCAGCAGGCGATCTTAGCTTTAATTACTAATGTCTTTGTTTAATTCTAGTTTTTTGTCTTTTAAATATATTTTTCAGTCAAGCAATGTTCCCCACTTTGCAGATCATAAGCTCCATGTGCTAACTCACAGTACTTACAGCTGCTCGAGGATTCGTTAGTATTTAAAAGAAATCTTAAGACTTTCTGCAACAAACTTTTACAAAAAAATAACTAGAGAAACCTTTATTTTAGGCAGGCAGGAAGACACGTGTTGGTGTTTGTCAGTTTGTTAGCTAAATATCTTGTGAATCACTGAACAAACTTTATGGAAGTAATCACTGGATGTACATCTGATTAACTCTTAAAGTTAACCAAAGTGTTCACTACAGCCAGTTCACCTTAAGAAACCAAAAACTCGCTATAAGTCACTCAGTTTTAAAGGCTTTGAGCAAATATTTGGGGTGGTAGTAGATGAGAGTCACACACAACATGTACTCTGATCAATGGTTGATCACAAGAGATCTATGTGTGAAACTTTGCCATTATTTAATGAGGTCAACTTGTGTTTGTTTGTTAGTAAAATATCTTATGAACCAAAGGACAGATGTTAATGAAACCCCCAAAAGTAACGACTGGATATCAACTGGCTCATTTCAAGATGGCCGCTGCAGCCTGTCCGTGGAAAACACAAAATTAGGTCACTCAACTTTACTTATGTTCAGCTAAAATTTAATGTTTTAGTAGCTGAAATTCATCCCCAGAACTTACCTGAAACACAGTAAAGGAGCTCCTTGCCTAAAACTTTAGCATTAACGGAGTCAATCTAATTTGTCTGTTAGCAAAACATCTTATGAACCACTGGACAGATTTTTATGTAACTCTCAGGAAGTAATCACCGGACCTAATGTTTGGAGTGAAACCAATTCAGAATGGCCACCATATAAGCAAAATAAAAAAAAAAACCAACATGCTACAATTCACAAAATTTGACTGATATTAGGCTAAATCTTGGCGAGGTGGTCTGTGTCATACGCAACAGAGAGTTTGATCCCCTAATTTGCTACAACTCCAACATAAAAGCAGATGGCCGCTTGTCCTGAGTCTGGTTCTGTTGGAGGTTTCTTCCTGTTAAAAGGGAGTTTTTCCTTTCCACTGTTGCCTTTGGGCTTGCTCAGGATGGGAGACGGCAACAAAAAGAAGATTCAACTTGTTTTTTGGCTTCTTTAGATAGAGAACTTTACTAATTGGCTTTTCTACATATGTGAATCTTCCTGTAAAGTGTCCCGACACGACTTTGTTGTAAGCGCTAATAAACTGAATTGAATTGAATAAAATTATCTTATAGTTTAAAACCCATGGTGGCGGGTGATATGCATTAGCAGGAATGTTATAAGTTTTCCTTGTTTTACATGAACTCACATCTCAACCTCAGAGAGTGAGTGCAGCCTCTGCGACCATCACTTAACACACTGCACACTGTATTTAGTCTTACCATTGTTTTGTGTCAGGGCCAGGGACATGATTTCCCTCCCAGCAGTCTTAAGTGCGGGTCTTTTCTTCATTTGGTTCAATTGGACCTGTGTTTTTTCCTGTTATTGTTCATTTATAGATCTGTCTCCTGTCTCCACAACACGCACTGTTAACTTGGCTGTTTCCGATTTTACATCCTCCCATACATAAATTATGATATTCTGCTGCTGATAATGGAAGCCTTTACACAAAGGCGTCCCCCCCCCCCCCCCCCCCTCCTCCCACCCTCTGTTATATTAAAGATTAGTTTATTTTCTAAAACTGCTGGACTTTTCTCCGAGATAAGTCGCCTGATATTTGCGATGTATTCGTGAACGTGCAGCAGGCTCCGTCCAAGTGTCAGCTGTGATGTAATGTGTCTGCAGGTATAAATATAGAGGCATGGCTGCTCAGCGTCCGCGCAGATCCAGAGTGCGCCAGTCGGTCTGGGAATGAGCGCAACTTTGACACGCTCCCCCCCTGCGTGGCCCCGCCGCTTCATCTGCGTCTTACTCCGCGCGCACCGGAGGACCAAACACCGGGAGGCTGCTCTCAGAGCCGGAGCCGGCATGGGCTCTCTGTCGGCCCTGAGGACAGTCCTGGTGCTGGTCCTGGTGGCGGGCCTGGCGGGATGCGTGCCCGGCCTGAACGGCACGGTGGACCGCTGGGAGGCCCTGTACTCGCGCTCCCTGGCGCGACTCCCGGGGGAGAAGCGCGTGGAGGTGAGCCGGGACGGAGACTACCTCCTGGGCATCAAGAGGCTGCGGCGCCTCTACTGCAACGTGGGGATCGGCTTCCACATGCAAGTGTTACCGGATGGCAGAATCACGGGGGTCCACAGCGAGAACAGATACAGTAAGTGGTTTATTGAGAAGTTCATCACCTCTGACAGAGCCCGAACACGTCATTCATATGTTTTAATATCTTCTTTAAAAAACACTTAATGGAATGAAGGAGCGCCTGCACCTGGTCTGAACTTTGATTTGGTTCAGTTAAAAGTGAAGCAGCTGCGTCCACACGGTTCTACGCGCTCTGATCCGGATCAGTGTTCACACCGCAGCTCCTCTTCGGGTTCCGCAGAGCAGAAATCTGCGCGCGTGCTTTGCGCCTGATGTGAAATGAGAGCTGGCTGTGACCCGGAGCCAGCAGCCTAAAGTTAGGACACACCGAGCCCGGAGCTCCGAACCAGAACCCACAATCCTGCCGCCTAGAGCGGAACTGACTGGTTGTTCTGAGGAACTCCAAGTTTTATTTTATTTATTATATGCACATTTTCTGAGCTAAAAAATGAAAATGAAAACAGAAAGCAGGTGAGGAAATAAAAACTGTGGGTCAGTTATCTCTTCAGTCTAGACAGAATGAGCTGTTTTTATCACGCGCACTGGAAAAATGAAAGTCGGGCGATCATGTTTTGACTCGTGTCTGCTTGGTAGCAAAATAACCAGTGAATTATGAAACTTGCAGTGGATGTAAATCTAGAAGTGATTAACTTTTAGAGTCAAGATGGCTGGAGCAGCTAATCAAACTTTGTCAGCTATACCTCATATATTTGGTGCATCAGCAGCTGATTATAATTCCCACATACACCGAGCAGTAACAAATCCTGTGAGGTTTGTGTTTAAAACTGTGTCAATAACTGCAGTCAACTGTGTGTTAGCAAAACATCTCACAAACCCTTTGACGGATTTTAAATAACTCAGAAATTAACCTTTCAATGTGCAACAAGTGATGTCTTGGAGTCAACTCCATTGATGTTTGCCACCACAGCCAGTTGACCTTTGAAAATACAAAATAATTGTTATATTTCAGGTGATTATCAGCTACTTAGACTACAAGCATGTCTTAAAGACATAAAAACATGGATGACTCTTAATTGTCTGCTTTTGAACACAGACAAGACTGAGGTTTTGGTTTTTGGACCTGAGCATCTTAAGAATTAATTTTTCAGTCTTTCTCCCTCCTTAGATGTCATTAATCTGTCCTCCAGCTCTAATGTTAAAAAACTTGGTGTTATTTTTGATCAGGACATGTCTTTTATACCCCACATTAAAAATGTTACTAGAACCGCCTTCTTCCACCTGCGTAATATCACTAAAATTAGAAACATCTTATCTAAAAATGATGCAGGAAAACTGGTTCATGTATTTGTCACGTCTAGACTGGATTATTGCAATGGTTTATTATCTGGGTGTCCAAATACTTCTTTAACACGTCTTCAGTTGATCCAAAATGCTGCTGCCAGAGTCTTAACTGGAGTTAGTGGGAGAGCTCATATCTCTCCAGTTTTAACTTCTTTCCCTTGGCTCCCTGTCAAATCCAGAATTTAATTCAAAATCTTACTTCTAACCAACAAAGCTTTCAACAACCTAGCTCCATCTTATATTACAGATCTTATTGTTACATATTTTCCTAACAAAGCACTT